CATCCCTGTAATGGGTCTTGCCATGGGAGTGCAATTCAGTTCGAATATTGCGGCCTGACCTGCGTGCGCACGGCGTTTCGCGACGCGCATTTTGAATTTCAAGACTGAGCTGGCAGTGTCCAGCACCCTCTTGTTTGGAAAACAATCAGCTGTCTCCGACACCCCCGCCAGACGCCCCTCCTGGAATCATATAACTGCTTGCTGGTGGTTGATTCCTCAGAGGGTTGAGCGTCGTGAGGGTGTGCTTCTGCTTTGTAGTCGTTTCTGGCTCCCTCTACCCCGCCCTTCAACCTATGGGGAGTGCAATTCAGTTCGAATATTGTGGCCTGACCTGCGTGCGCACGGCGTTTCGCGACACGAAATTTGAATTTCAAGACTGAGCTGGCAGTGCCCAACACCCTCTTGCTTGGAAAACAATCAACTGTCTCCGACACCCCCGCCAGACGCCCCTCCTGGAATCATAAATTTGAGTGTGTTCACGTGTCGGGCCATGTGAGGCGATGCTCGTTCGACACTGTGTCGATATTCTTCTGGGTGCTCGAAATTATTTCCGGGATGTGGTCCTTAAGTGCGATGGGAGCAAAACATTTGGCTTGCAGCGCCCTCCTCCCCAGCTCCCCGACATCCCCTTCGAGCGACGCAAAGAAGAACCGGGTCGTCTGCGCCGGCATTGGCGCGTCGGCTGCCCGCGTAAGGTCGCGCGTAAGCGCCCGCGTTTCCACTGTGGCGTGTTGCGCTGGCGGCCCGCGTAAGCCGCCGCGTGAGGTCGCTATGTGCGTCATCTCGTGTCGATCGTCGCTCACTTGCCGCTGGCCAGACGTCGAGGTCGAGGCAGGGGCGGCGCGATGCGCCCGCCACGCGGCGCCTGGCCCTGACGGCGCCCCGTGTGCCTCGTGGGCGCGAGCGAGCTACAGGCGCCATCCCGCGTTTGCGCGCGGCCATGGTGGCCTTTTTTCATGTGGGTGTTTCGCTACCCTCTGGGCCATCACGCGCGTTATGCCCCTACCCTCCCCCCTCCCCCCCCTCCCCCCCGCAGCGCAGCGTTCACCCCCTCAGTGCGTCCACGGCACTGCCGCAATGCATCCGGCACCACAGTCTTGGGGAGGGCGTTACGTTATGCTCCCTCCCGTCCCCCCCTCCCCCCCATAACGCCCGCTATGGCCAATGCAAATTGCGTTCTATGAGTGCGGCGCCGCTGCCGGACGGCCTTGATGCCTCCTGGCTTGAATCTGCATTCAAGGGTAACGACACCCCGACGGCCGCGCAGGTGGCGTGGAACCCAGCCGAGACCCGCCCGATAGCCCTCAATAGCTCCGACGCGAAGGTCACGGCAGCGTCTGCCAACCAGTGCGCATCGCTGGTCGCGGACAGGCACGTTCCGAGCTCGCAGCGCGGTTTCGCGCTGCGGCGTTTTGACACCCAGGCGAGGGTCGCAAAATTAACCCCCCCTGGGGCGACGATGGGCAACGTTGTTGGACCCGCATCAGGTTGCAGCCCTTCTACATGTGTTTTTTGCTCACCGGCGTTGTGCAGGGCTGGCCTCTCTCGGGCACCCCGTGGGCCCTGGTCGCGGCGCCGTTCGTGGAAGCTGTCGCTGGTGCGCGGGCGTTCCCCCCCGCGTTCCCTGGCTAGCCGCGCACCGCGTGGCGATCCCCTGCTCGGTTCTGGTCGAGCTGATGAGTTCGGCATCTGCGCTGACGATGTCGGTCAGGAGAGGCAAAAACACCCGGACACAATGAATTTGCGACTCCCAGGAAAATGTAGAAAATATGAGAAGTGGGGGGGGGGGAAAGAGCAACCAAGGAAATCTAGGAAAATATGGGTAATCCTTGTATGTGTGTCTATTGATTTGTGTGTCCCAGGGCCCCTCCAGTCTGGGCAGTACCCTGGAGACATCTCCATCCTCAGCCTCAGGGGACCGGGTTTCTGCGCCATGGCCCGCCTCGCCTGACTGAAACTGCAGCTTCGGAGGTGTGTCTCGGTCCCACTGTGGTTGGCTGCTGCGGACCTGCCGGCCGCACTCCATGCCATCCGATTGGCATTCAGAGCATTGGCGCCGAATTCGTCCGACTTTGACGTCGCTTCGAGGGTCAAGTACCTCGGGTTCGCGCTGAGCCCAGGGGCATCCCTTTGGGACCCCTGGCAGGCGGCGGCCTGGAAGTGCAAGCAGCGCGCGGTGGGGCTGAAGAGCGTGCCTGTGACGACGTACGGGTTGATTCAGCTAATACAGCGACTCCGCCTCCTCTTCTTCCCCGCCTGCCCTGCACAGTTGCTGCCTCTGCTGGAGGCCTTCCTCCGGGGTGAGCCAGACGCGTCAGCGCCGTATTCTGGCAGCCCCGCCGAGGTCCTCCTCGCTTGCTGCCTTGATCCGCCTGGGCACGTGGGCGCCCGGCCCCGCCCTCGCTGCGATGCGACCTGCTGCCTGTGCTGCCGCATGGCGCGCAGCCAATGTCACGCTCGAGGGAGGGATGGTCTTCGAGGACGCGCGGCGCGAGCGCGCGATGGATTGCCTCCCGACCAGCGTTTTCTAATCGTTGTCGAACCAGCCACGGACGATGGGCCGCGCCGCCATGGGAACAGACGGAGTCCACGCTGCAGTACCTCATGGCCGTCGACACCGCCTCTGTCGACGCTCCCAGCAAGCGCCTGCGGCGGCGCCGACGGCTGGCACTTCAAGCGGCCGAAGCAGCTGCGCGCGGCGAGCTGCTCGTAGCCGAAGTCGCTACGTGCAAGCCTTGCCTCCAGCGCACGCGGCAGCCGCCGCTCAGGCACTCTGCCCAGAGGGCCTTCACACGACGCGACCCGTCGACGCCTCAACGCCTGGTGACCCGACCTGACGATCCCACCGGATCTCTTCCAAAGGTGGATACACCTCAGACCCCAACCCGCAGTTGCTGCTCCAGGCACCTGCTGGGCGGCCACCCGCACCCTCGCAGGCTCATGACCCACTTCGTAGCACTTCCTGCCGAACGCACGCAGGACAGCCCCGCCTGCCATGCCGGTCCATGCCAGCGGTCCTGTCAAGACGGCGCTGGCAAGATCTCGCACGACCTGGGGTGCCGAGGCGCCTGGCCATCGCATCATCGCAATCGCCCACGAGGGCCCACTTCACCGCCTCGTCTTGGGCTCGGCAGCGGATTATGTACGACGCAGAACCGCAAGGAGAAAGCAGGCTCCCCAAAACGGGGACGAGACTGGCAACGCTGCACCTCACGGACAATTTGCTGCACCATCGTCCTCGCCCGCTGCAGCCGCCCCCGCCGGTGGCCGAGGCACTTCAGCGCGCCGCTTTCCAGCGCGTCCGAGTGCCTCCGCTCCCCTCGCAGGCCCCCAGTGTCGGTGACTTACGCGGGCGGCTCGTCACACCAGCGTTCTGGTGGCAACACGGCGGCGGCGGCGGCTGGCGAAGCGGCGGCCTCCTAGCGGTCGAAGAACGGTATAACATACACTTTTCCGTCGCCAGGGGCGTTGCCCCAGGGCGGCTGGACAGTATAGACTTTGACGTGCCATTGTAAGGGTAAAAACTTTCCAGCCGCCTTGGGACAGGCGTCCCCGACAACGAAACAGTTTTTTATTTCATTCTTCGCCCGTTAATCCCTTGCACGATTTCACACGTTACCTCAACAAACGCTACTCGGACGGCCGCTCGGCTGGCCGTCCCACGCGCGCGGGCGGGTAGGCGCACTAGACTCGCAGCGGTACGGGCGCACATATTCCTCCGACTCCCCCTCCATCCTCACTCTGGTGGGGTATGACGGATTCCCGGCCCTTGCTTCTATCCCTTACTACCATCCCATGTTCTTCAACATTCTCATCAGGGCAACCTGCTCGGGCATCGTTTCCAGATGGGTTGTTGTGGCTACGTGAAGCGATAAGATTGTAGAGCACGTCCAGCGGCCTCCCCCTCTCCTTCCTTGCCCTTCCTCACCCTTCCTCCGCTTCCCTTCCTCCTCGTCGCCCTCCTTCCTCCTCTCCCCCCTCCCATTTCTCCCTAGCTGGCGTCTGGCCAGACTGCGCGCGTCCACGTGGAGGCTCGTGCTCGAGTTGTACAGTGGTTCGAATCTGCGCCCCTCATCTGCGTGGACCCCCGCTCACCGAGAGTGGGTCGTCAGGATGACCTCGAACACCTCCTCGGGGGCATGTGGGCCGGCTGTTTCGCCAGGCTCGGGCCAGAGAGTGTAGCAGCACCGGCAACTTACGTCAACCTGCGGAGAGGCGAATCTGCCAGGCTACGTTGCAGATCTGTGTGTTTAGCTAGTTTTGTCCGCAGTCCGTGGCCGCTCTGGCAAGCAAGGGAACCCGCGGGCCGCGGGTGGACAGCAAAGCTGGGGTTCTCGAGGACGACATCTTGTTCTCCCCTTCCAGGGAAGAGTAGAGATGCTCGGAAACTGGAACGTTTACATTACCAGTGGCGGGTTATTTTTTCAAGGGTCGGGGACGAAGTCGGGGTGGTGTGGTGTGCACTTTTTTATCCGTGTCCCAGTGGAATTACGAAACATCTACACACCATGCTCTCGCATACGACAGGCTCCGCCTTCTTGTGCAAGTCTCAGTGTAGGACTAGAAAATAAGCGACGGTGTATGGAATTTGAAATTTGTCTTTTTAGATGCAAGCAGTGTAATTTGTTGGCTCGTGCAACGGCTTCCGTCGCGCAGCTGCGAACGGGGAGTCAACGAGCATACGCGGGCGCGTGAGTATTTCAGATTGGTGGGCGCCGCGGCGCCCCCCCCCCTCATGGCTTCAAGGCGGTGCAAGTTGCCATGAGGTTTGACGACGAGGTCTTGGTCCCCCAGGAGGCAGCCGCAGAGCCTCACCCAGCCGTGCTTGAGAAGTTTTCGGAGCTCGATGACGAAAGTGGGAACTCTGGGACAGAGTTGGTGAGCTCGGTGTGCTCGGCCTATTGTCTCTTGTTTTTTTGTCAAGGACGCAGAAGACAGCACGCGCTGCGGCCCCACCGAGGGCGCTGCCTTGGCCTGAGTTCACGAGCTCGCCACACGGCTCAGGTGTGGCACCCTGGCGAGGGTGCCGCCGCTTCGGCGCTCTCCTCCTTCGCGGCAATCCGGGCCCGCAAGGCGGCCATGGGGTCGGCCGCGGGGGCGGCCTCGCTGGCCTGCGGCTGTGGCGGGCGGCGAGCCAGCCAGTCGGCCAGGAGCTGCTCGTCGCGGGCAGCCGCCAATCTCTCGGCGACTTGGCCTTTTTCTTCTTCTTGGCCCTTTCCTTGCGCCAGACCGTAGCCGCAGGCGCCGCGGCGGCTGCCGGCCTGCCGAGCGCGCCGCCAGCCGAGTCCCAGGCGGCGCTCGGCGCGGCGGGCGGCGGGCAGGCCTTCGCCGCCTCGTCGCCGAGCTCGCAGGCGTCGCCCGCAGGCGCGGCCTTGCGCTTGCAGCCGCGCGTGCGTCGCGGCCGCTCCGCCTCGGAGTCCCTGACGTACTGCCGGTTGGCCCCGGGGTCCAGTGGCGTCAGGGTGTCGAGAGGGCACCGGTTCGCCTACGCGGTGGCCCGCGGCAGCGTCCCGGACCATCTGGACCTGGGCCCAGGGCAGCGCATCGCGGCGGGCGATCTACTTCGCCAGATCGTCCACGAGGTCGTTGCCAGTGACGTCGTGGGCTTGCCGTTGCTCATATATGTGCCGACGTAACTGGTGGCAGTGTTATGAGCTGGCAGCCACGCCACCCGGTCTGGGTCGGACTCAAGAGCCGCCGAGATCGGCCCCCACGCTCTGGCCAGGGTTCGGCAGGGGGCGGTGGCCCAGCGCGCGCCCCGCTTCGTTCCGAGCTGCACAGCGGAACAATCCACCTTCAAGGAGGAAGCGGGGTCAAACGACTGGACAGCCATGAGCAAGCCCCACATCTCCGTGGCTTGAATGCCGACTGCCCACGGCGGGGTACGGCCATGCGCCGCCGCCACGAGTTCGCCGTTGCCGTCGCACGCAGCTATTGCCCAACCTTGGCGGGCGCACAGGTCGTGGAGGTCAGCCTCCCCGTCCAGCCTGGAGCCTTCAACGTACGCGTCGACCTGCGCAGCCAGTGGGCCTGGCCGGACCACCCATTCGAAGGACTCCTGCTCGGGCGGCGGGTCCAGGGCAGAGGCAGGATACGGTGCGATGCCTCGTGTGAGCATGGCTAGGTCAGCAGGGCTCAGCGCCAGTGTGCCCTCGGGGTCCGTGTGCTGGCGGGGCAGCTCTTGAATCCACGCGGGGGCCGTTTTCTGCCGGCGGGGCTCCGTGGCCGGACGCGCGAGGACGCGCTGCGCCAGATGTCCAGTGAACCTCGGATCATCGGCCTGCGGGTCGCACAACCCCGCGCGCACGCACGACCTTCAGTTAGCGGTGCTGGCGAGGCCTGCTCGTTGCAGCCTCGCTTGTGGCCACTGCCGGTTCGCGAAGATTGACCGCGAGGCGCTCTTTTCAGAGGCGCCCCAGTTGTCGCCATCTCTCCCGTTGAGATGCTTGAAGATATCCTGCACGAAGAGTCCGTGCCCTCCGGGCCCGCGGGCGACGCGAGGATGCTGCCGCTCGAAGCGTCGCCGCCGCCAGCGCCAGACAGGCTGCTGCGCAAAACGCCCGGCCATGGCCGGCGAATCTGGCGAAATCAATGTGCTGGCCCCAGTCGGTGCGCACCTCGGCATATGAAAGTACCTCCCAGCCGAGCCGTAGGGCCGACGCCACAAAAGCTGCGGCGGGGCCTCGCACCATGGCCCAAGGCGACGACCGGGCCGGTCCACCAGGACTGCGAGAGCAGCGGACGCGATAGGCCTGGGCAGCTAGCCTTCCCACGCAGCCTCGGCCCAGTTGGCGATGGAGGCCTCGTGAGCGGCGAACGCCAGGTCTGCCTCGCCGCCCATGCCGCCGTCGGCGAGGATCAAGGCGATGTCCAGCTCGCCGCCGCCGCCGGGCACTGAGGCAGCAGCGACTGCAACGCTCCGGGACTGGAGCATGGTGTTGGAGACGCCCGCGTTGGCCTGCCCGTGCACGAGGGCCGCAGTGCCACCTGTCCGGAGCACCACGGCCGCCCTGCGTGCCCCGATTCAGCGGCGCAGCTTTTGGAACTGAGGCTCCCGCACCTTGAATGCCCAGAGCCGCGTCGCCAGTAGAGCGGCGTGCCGGACACGCCCGAAGCAAGCGGCGCCCCCGAGCGACTTGGCGTTGTCCACGACCTTCAGCCTCAGCCCAGGCAGCTGGTCCACAATGCGGTAGGCCAACTCCTGGCGCGAGGCGAGCACCATGTTCTTCCTGGGACTGACCTCCATGCCAATTTCCACGATGCGTTCGGTGAAGTGCCTCACGGTACCAACCACGGTGTCGCAGACCATCCAGTCCGAGCCGGATGCATCGAAAGACGTGTCGTCGACGTAGACCGTGATCACGATGCACCGATGCAGCGCAACCGTCTCGTCTAACCACTCGACGAGGAGAAGCCGGAGCTCGATGGTGGCGCGCACGGCCCCGGTTGCGATCCCGCCCGTGGCCAGCAGCAGCACCGAACAGACGCCACCAATAGTGATGCACCGGGCGAGGCGGTATGCGGCGTTGCTGAGCCTGAGGACGGCCGTGGGGTAGCTGTGCCGCGCGCCCTGCTTCGCAAGCCAGTGGTGGGAGACCCGCTCGAAGGCCTTCGCCGCGTCGAGCATCGCATTGGCGTGGCTGAGAAAATATAGACAGTGCGCCGGCTCCGCCCTGGCGGCCTGCTTCCACGCGTCCACCTCTGCGCCCCTCCAGAGGCCAGCGTAAAAGAAAGGGCGATCGTGGGGGGGCCGCCACGCCCGCACCACGTCCAGCCTGGCGCGCATCCACCACCGAATGACGCTGGGCAGCAGGCCAATCAGGCGGCGGCCCCCATCGGGCCTGGGTAACAAGCAAATGAGGACGACCCCAATGGAGGTAGGCCAAGTCCCGAGCAGCTCACACATGATGAAAAAGCTTCATCGATGACCAAATTGCGCCGTCCGCGCACCGGCAGACTGCCCGGGGGCGCAGCTTGTCCCGCCGGCCGAGGCCGGGCGGCCGTCTGCAGCGCAGCGGCCGCAAGCTGTGGCAACGGGGCCCGATCTTTCCAATCGCTTGGCCATTGGATGTCACCAGGCGGCCCATCACAGGCCCATTCAGTGCTCCACTTGCGTGCCTCGGCGTCCACCTCGGCCTGCAACGATAGAGGGCGCGGCGAGCAGCAGGCCTCGCAAGCATCAAACTCACGCTGGGAAACGCAGTCGTCGTCGGTTGCGTCGCTGAGAGCATCCTCATCGGGCTCGCCATTCGAGATTGGGCTTGGGACCCAGCCCGAGGCAACTCGCGACAGGCGGTGGTGCCTGCCCAGGCTCTTGCAGGGGCCGTCGCACAGCCAGCTCGCCCAGGCAGCGTCGGACTGCTGGATGTCGTAGGCCATGGTGCGCCTCGAAATGAGGTCAGCCGTAGAAAACAACCAGTTCACGCGAACTCTGTCGTGCCAGCCCTTGCCGGCGGCCATGCGCAATATTGTATCTTGCCTCACGGTTCTTTAGAGGGCGCAGCGCCAGATGCCAAGGCAGGAGCGCCCACCCTAGCATTCAGTCCCCGCAGATCCTTGAAATAAAGTGCGCTGCGAGAGGGCTCAACCCCAGAAGGGGTGAAACCATTGCTTGATTTTGATTGGGGACTGGCGGTGGGTGGCTTGTCGAGCACGGCCCCTGCCGCCTGGCAGGGAGGTGCGATGCAAAAGAACCTTGATGCCCCCGCCTGGCTTTCTCACGCGCCAGGCTTGCTTGTCAGCGAGCGTCGGCCTCCCGAGCCCGCCGGTGGAGCTACCCCTCCGCATCCGAGGCGTTTGCGGCTCGCGCTCGCGCTCCTGGGCTGGTCGCGCGCCCCCCCGGGGCAGACGCAGCCGCTGCCGAGGTGTCCTGCCCGGCGGCCGCGCTGCCGCTGTGCGGCGCGGCGGGCGCCCGTGCACCACCTGGCGGGCCGGCGGACGCCGGGTGCTTCGTGCCGCATCCTTTCTCCCTCCTCCCTCCCCCCCTCTACCTCATCCCTCCTCCCCACTCCCATCCTCCTTAGCCTTCCCAGTTTGTCACCACACCACCCACCAAACCACCTCAACCCAACCCGAAGGCCTCAATTTGTCCTCCATTTCCAGTGGGGGGGTTGGGGAACATGAAAAAAAAAACATGGAACCCGTACCCCCCCCCCAACCCGAAATTCGGGTCAAATTCGGGTTTTCGGGTTGGGTTGGGGTGGTCTGGTAGGCAGTCAGCTTGGAATCTTGATTTGGGCTTCTCCCATTCGCTGGCGGATCGGTGGGGCAGCCCATGGCCTCTCTGACGCTCGAATTCCAGCGCACTCTGTGCACAGACCAGCGCGGGCCACAACTGCTACACGGGCGAGCGAGATCGGTCGGGGGCTCGTGGAGACAAACACGCGGCTCACCCGCTCGGTTCAAAGCCGATCAACGCCGTTCCCCGGCACCTCCCGGGGTCCATTCAGGAGGGAAAAATCACAGACACGATTCATCGTCGATTCCCTTGAAAATATTGGAAAAGGTGGGAAGTGGGGGGGGGTAAGACAGCAACCCAGAAAATATGGGAAAAGATGGGGATTCCGAATTTTAGTGTCTATCTGTTGTGTGTCCCAAGGCCCCTTCATCCATGCTGATCCGTGTTTCGCTGGGATCCGGCCGTGGCGACGAGAAGCCTCCCAGAGGCGCAATCGCAAGACAGCTCGGCGCTTGGGCCCCACCGCCAGCCCAGGCAGCAGCGAGCATGAATACGCGGGCGCAGCCCCGCATGCATTCGAATGCCCACGTTTCGTCCTCGTGCTGCTCGTATTCCTCCCCGTCCTCCTCCCCATCCTGATTCCTCGTCTTCTCCTGCTCCACCTCCTAGTCGTCCTCGTCTAGGACATTGTCCTCCTTTCTCCTCTTCCTCCTCCTGCTCGTCCTCCTTCTCCCCCGCACCTCGGTCCTTGCCGCCCTCGCTGGCCCGCGCTTGCTGCCTTCTCTGGGGTCGGCGGCAGAAGCCATGGGTTGCGTCTTAGGTTGCGCCATCGGTTGCGCCCTCGGCGGCCGAGAATAATACCGTCTCCTACGGGTTGCCCCATAGCTTGCGCCCTCGGCGGCCGAGAATTAAACCGAATCCCATCGGTTGCGCGCCCTCGGCGGGTGAGAATGCCACGGTCTCCTACCGGTGGCGCCAGAAGGTGCGCCCCCGGCGGCCGAGAATGAAACCGTCTCCTAGGGGTTGCGCCATAGGTTGCGCCTTCGGCGGCTGAGAATGAAACCGTCTGCTATGGATTTGCGCCGTTGGTTCCCCCCCCGGCGGCCGAGAATAACACCGTCTCCTAGGGGTTGCACCATAGGTTGCGCCCTCGGCGGCCGAGAATTTAACCGTCTCCCATCGGTTGCGCCATAGGTTCCCCCCTCGGCGGCCGAGAATGAAATCGTCGCCTATGGGTTGCGCCATCAGTTGCGTCCTCGGCGGCCGAGAATAAATCCGTCTACCATCGGTTGCTCCAGAATTCTTTACGCTTCGCGTATCCCCACCAGCCCATCTCACAGCAGCAACTCTTGCGAAGCATGCCGACAGTCGTGTTTTTCAGGCGTGTGTCCGCTTGGCCCCGCATATCTCCCCTGTTCCTCCTTCCTCCCGCCTCCTTGTACATCCTCCTTGTGGGGGGAGCGGGAGAAGGACGAGGCGGAGGAGGAGGGAGAGAAAGCGCTCCTCGTGATTTGAGTCGTTTGGGGTTTCTCGTCCTGGTGTGAGTCGTTCGGGCCCTTCTTCCTGGTGTGAGTCGTTCGGGCTCTTCGTGGTGTGAGTCGTTCGGGCTCTTCGTCCTGGTGTGAGTCGTTCGGGCTTCTCGTGGTGTGAGTTGTTCGGGCCCCTCATCCTGGTGTGAGTCGTTCGGGCCCCTCCTCCTGGTGTGACTCGTTCGGGCTCCTCGTGGTGTGAGTCGTTCGAGGCCCGCGTCGTGGTGTGAGTCGTTCGGGCTCCTCGTGGTGTGAGTCGTTCGGGCGCTTCGTCCTGGTGTGAGTCGTTCGGGCCCCTCCTTATGGTGTGAGTCGTTCGGGCTCTTCGTGGTGCGAGTCGTTCGGGCCCCTCGTCCTGGTGTGAGTCGTTTGGGCTCCTCGTGGGGCCTCTTGGGGGCCTCTTGGGGCCTCTTGGGGGCCTCTTGGGTGCCTCTTGGGGGCCTCTAGGGGGCCTCTTGGGGACCTCGTGGGGGCCTCTTGGGGGCCTCTTGGGGGCCTCTTGGGGGCCTCTTGGGGCCTCTTGGGGGCCTCTTGGGGGCCTCTTGGTGGCCTCTTGGAGGCCTCTTGGGAGGCTCCTGGGGGCCTCTTGGGGCCATCTTGGGGGCTCTTGCGACCTCCTCTGAAGCGCAAAGGAGCGCTGCCCCCTGAGAAGGACAAAATGAGCCGAAAACTTCCGTAAAATCGAGGATTTTGCTACGAAGGAAGATGAGCGCGGCCCCCTCAGGAGACCAAAATGGGGCCAAAACCGTAGTAAAATCAATGATTTTCGCTTCAAAGAAGAGGAGAGGGGCCTATCTCCCCCCCCCGTCGGGGCCAGAATCCTCGTGAGGGTCGTCGTTTTTTAGCCCTCCCAGGAGTCGGAAAAGACCCCTCCAACGACCCGCGGAACCCCCTCTCCAGGCCCAGGGGGAGGGGGTAGGGGGAGGGGTAAACCCTCCCCGAAGGGGAAGAAGAGGGGCTGAGAACAGAGAGGGCTCCCTAAACCACTCACGCCCAAAGGGCTGGTGGGATTTGCGCCCTTGGCGACCGTGCATACAGCCGTCGCGTAACGATTAGGACCAGCCAGTTCTGCTCAATTCAGTGCAGTTCAGATCAGTCTATGTCAGTTCAGTGCAGTTCAGCTTGGTTCAGTTTACCTCGCGAGAAACTGACTCGGGCTTCGCCCGAAAAAAAGGAGGAACAACGCCAGTGAGGGCTGGCGTTGTCTCTGGTCAACGGGCCCTCCTCCGAGCAGGGATGCGAAGCGGGGGGAGGCTGCGGAGGAGCAGGAGGGGCGGAAAGCTGCTGTGCTTCTGCAGGGCGGCAAGCTCGACCTGGTCATCAACGTCCCGGACTCCATGGACTCGCAGGCGCTCACGGACGGTTTCGAGATACGCCGCGCGGCCGTGGACAGGCGCGGCGGCGACGCCCCAATTGGCCCATTGCCCGACCTGTTTGCGTCTGCCACGAGCGAAGCGGACGGCTCCTGAAGGCAGGTGGGTCCTGAGGTTTTGAGCTGTTTGGGCCTCGCTGGGCCCTCGGAACGCTAGGAGGTAACTCCTGGAAGGGTACAATTGAGCAGCGGAGCTTGTGTATCCGTTGCCAGACGCTGGCCTGATCCTGCGCAAACCCGCTCAATCCGGCGTCGTCCCGCTTGATTCGGCTTCATCCTGAGCTCAATCTGAGCAAACCCAGTGGTCTCTTAGGCAGAATGAATAATTCGTCTTCGCGCGTTTTTCATTCAAAAGGCCTCCCAGGATCTGCTTCTTCTTAAAGCAAAGGTTAGTCCTGGGAGAAATTCTCTGGATCCAAGACCCGCTCCCCTGAGGACCCATCGGTTTCTCGCCGAGCCGTGCCCGAGGGGCTGTCGCGCCGAGAACTTTTGCCAGCAACGCGAACCCTTGCAGGTCCGATCTTGCGCCCCCTGGATCGGTGCTCCCTCCTTCCCTCCCTCCCTCCCCCCCTGTGTCAAGTCCAGTGTTTCAAAGAATTCGTCCTCATTATCCTCCTCTTCTTGCCCTTCACGTCGTAACTTGTCTAGATCTCTAGATTCCAGTGCATGTTTCTGCTTGACCACTGAGGCCATGGCCCCTCCGACGTGGTCTCAGTGTGAGGCCCTGACGGTGGTTCGCAGAGGTGGTCCTTCTTTTTTTCCCCGGGTCAAGTCCATGTGGGGACCGTTTAAGGTCCTCTCGCCTCCCTCTCCGAAGGTCCCTCGAGGTCCTCATGAGGTCCTGGGTTCCTAGGGTGCAGGCGTCCTTCCATCCTACCTCCCATCCTCCCTCACCCCATCCCCCTTCCTCATGCTCCTCGCCATCCGGTCGGTCCGCTCGCATCAGAGATCGGGCAGCTCATCCTGAAGGCCTCAACACGTTGTCGGCCACATCACGGTCGTCATCACGTAATCGTTCCCAGGTGTCGTTCTGAGCCTTGTACAGTTCAGAAGTAGTCGGGCGACCATGCCGGAGGACACGCCCCACCGATGCCGGGTCCAGCCGAACCTTTTGCAAGGGAAGCCTTGCGGGAGACCACGCCCCATCTGGCAGAGCACTCATTCGTGTCTTTGAGATGTCTGCCTGGACCCTTGCAGACAAGCTGTTTCGGACATCCGTTCCGATGATTGTGCTGGGGGCGGGGTCCAGGAGCCTCCAACGGGGGGGTGCCCAGAGGGAAGCATCGGGAGGCCCACAGAGGCAGAGACGGGGCCCAGTTCGGCAGAACAAGGGATCCTTTAGGCTCGTTCTTTCGATCGATCGAGATTCGTAGTTGCGAGT